TAATAATAATAATAATAATAATAATAATAATAATAATAATGATAATAATAATAATGATAAAAGAATTAGCAACAATTACAGATGGTGATTGAAGGTCATTAAAAGTATTCTTATTTCATTCACAATCAATTGAAAAGAAATTTTATGAATGTTAAAAGTATATTTGCAAGTGATGGAAAAAATCGGAAATGAATTCGAATAAGAAGCTCACCTCACAAAACTGAAGATCACTGTTGTATTGATACTGCAAACTGTCTAGATATTCAGTAACTGTTGGAACTAACGAAAAAAGACACACAAACGGAATGAACGATACTGATAATGCGATCACAATTGCAATTCGATATGCATTTTCACGTGAAGCATTCAATTCACTCATTAAGATCATGTTTTAGTGCCAATAATAATGCTGAAAATAAGTACGTTCAATTCAAAATTTGGTAACATAGAAATGAAGCACAGAAACGTTCGTTGATCACGAAGTCATGCAGCAATCATTCATTTATTCATGACAAACTATCCTTTTCCTCAGCACTGAAAACCTGACAGGTACCGAATCCGCTTGCGTTTGTGCATCGAACATACCTGCGGTTATAACTCAACAGAATAAATAATTTTGATACTGTGCACAATCATATTAAACAATTAATACATAGAATCGTGTACAATAAATTTTTATATTTATAAAAAGATGAATTTTTGCGCAAATTTTGCTTCTACAACATTTTAGAATCGTAAATTATCGGAATTTTCGTCAAACTTCAAGTATCTCTATCCAGAATGCAAATGCTTGGTTTCGAGCTAAATATTCAAGCAGACTATTTATTTGGAAATTGAGCCATACGAATCAATAAAATTGAATCGGTAATTAAGGTAGTTCGATGTTGCATGAAGGGCGAAATAATTGCTGCGAAGTCGTATAAATGAAGTAAATTTCGTCAGAGAGCAGTTAACACAATCAGCAATCTCGTCGGATCGTAATTTCGTTCAGTAACACATTACGTACTTTTTTGACCTCTAAATTTGTGCAACGGAATAACGCATCAATTGGCCTAGTTTATTGGCGATAATCAAATAAATTATCGAAGAAGATGTTTGAAGTGGCTGTAAAGCAAAACCTAACTAAGACCACAATTGATTCCTGTGTACGTTTTACAATCAATTTTCATCTGCGTTTATTAATTGCTATCTAATATCTATAGAATTTTCGTTTTATCATTCATGCACCATTCCATATATCAATACGTTAAGTATAACACCTTGACATTATCAGTCAATAGAATCTCATAAATTTGTGAATATAAGAAGCAGTGGCGTACCCAGTGCAGGAGCGTCCCCCTATCCCCCTCCTTGTAGGTTGGAGGAAGAAGAAAAGAGAAGGGAAAAGAGGGGATGGAAGAGAGAGGGAAGAAAAAGTAAACGTCGAAAAATCAGCCTCAAAATTCGGCTAGTTTCAGGACCAGACCGTTTTGCGCCCCCTCTCCCGCCTGAAAAAAATCCTGACTGCGCCACAAATAAAAGAGTGAAATTGTACTTTATCACTGAAAGTAATGAGAGAGTATGCAGGAAAGAAAACCTTGGCAAATATTTTGAATATCAGTGCTATGGTAGATCTGGGCCCAACTATGAGTTCAAACATGCATTGAAGATGACATAATTACAATCTTTTTGTTCTAATATTTATAATCAGATGGAGAGTGATGGCATTCAAACGGAATTTCAAGTCGATTAGAATCCGATCAGCATGAAAGTTCATCATTTCGACAGTCGGAATTCCGATCGACCTTCCAAACTGTTCAGTCGGAATGCAAATGTCGATATTCCGACCGAACGTTGCTCGGATGCCATCATCAGGATGGATGGTCTACGACTCTGTGGAAGTATTCGTTCAGATTATGTTGGTTCGCGCTTTGATTCAGCTGAATGGCTGACTTTTGATCAGGTGTACTATGCCTTGATCAACTTGAAAACTGAACGTGCATTGGTGGAAAACACGAACTATTTATGCAGATGTTCAGTGACAAAAGTAAGAAATATTCGTTGCATTGCATCGATTCTTAAACGTTCAGCGACTCAGATATTGGCATTTTGTGAAGTGCTTTCAGCAATAAGAACTATTTCAAATGAACCTTTAAAAAGTGGTTTATTGATACCGCATTTCAATAACGCACCAAAACATCAAAGTTAAAGTAGAAAAGAGCGAAAAGTGTTTATTTAAGAAAGCAGAAATGTTTATATGGAGACGGAAAAAAACTGACAAATTAGATTACTGTTAAATGCACTTGCAAAGAATGATCATACACACTGATAAATACGATGGAAGTTTGCAAAACTTTGAACTGAAAATTCTTTAGTTAATTCAAATTACATTTCATTTCATATCACGTTATAGATAGTCGCATTTTGTTGCTGCTCTACAGGAAGCCTCACAATTATGAATAGTATCACCGAATAAGGTGAATTATTGCTGTAAACTGAGATTTAATCGGGATTTTTAGTACATGGTAATGGAAAGTTGCTTTCGAAATCACTTTTTTTCTTCAGTTAATTGAATGAAAAATGAATCAATAGAAAAAGAACGATAACAAATATACTAAAATTGACAATCGCACACCATGAGCACCTTACAAAACGTTACAAATATAAATTAAGTAATGGTAGCACACAAGGCAAATACTTCTCTCAGCATGAAAATCAAGAAACGAAAATCTCAGTAGTGCTCTCAGCAGGAGAATCAAGAAATGAAAACGTTCAGAAGACGATTAGTAGAAAACAGATAGTGATAAATGAAATGAGTTAAGAAGCATTGGGGAAATCATTAAACTATTTCGAATTGTTTTCAGCCTTTTTCCTTTCGATCTCTTCTCTAGCCCAGTCTGCATCTTGCAGAATGAACTTTGAAAGCGTAGATTCCACAACCGGTTTCGTCAAATCAGGTCCGTTGAAATCCAGACAAATCAGATAATCAAGCACGGTTTTGTTCGCGTCTTTCGGATGCACGCGAAAACGACCTCCACCCAATATCAGTTTACCTCTAAAAAATGATTGCAATGGCACATTCACCAAATGCATCATGCACGTTATCATTAATTTTGAAAGCTGTGCGCAAAAAATTTTCAAGTTCATTTTGCTTTTTGCGATAAAATTACTTTGTGCGGTGAAAGCAATATTGTGCTTGTTCAGAGGTTTATTGCATTGTCAGCGCGATAGTATGATACTAACGAACGAACAATAAGTTACCGAATCTTTTTCTTATATCGCTCTACTTCATCCGTATCATAACTTCTAGCCGCCTCAATAATATCACCATCAATTCGACGATAAATACGACTTGTTACAAAATCGCGACCCTTCACCAGACCAGCGTCTTTCATTGCGTACTGAAACGAACCATCTGTCATTAATGAACCTATTGATAATACAAACTACAGTTAGGTCGGGGCCCAATCGGGCACGTAAGTCCCCAAGGTAAAGGTCCGCGAGGGTAGGAGGAAAGGTCGGGAGCTTCTGAAACCCCGAAGTTTTTCGTAGGCCCCTAAATCCTTCGCTCGAGGAGTCCCAAGTCTCAAGGGCCTCCTACCCAACCCATGTGCAACGGTGAACCAGTTTTACAATTGGTAAACACGTTTAATTAAGGTTACCTTCACTTTCAGGATTTATAGGCTCTTTTCCGGGCTGATAACCTCTGCTAACTTGAAACATTCATAAGATTTAACCATCTAAAATTTGCGCCAGTACAATATAATGGTGGAATTGTCGTTTGAATGCTCACTGAAGACACATTATCAATATATTATCAATCTGCTCACGCACATGAATTATCTCGACATGCGGCGACAAGACTGCCACTTTTTCAGCTAACGATGTATTTTTGTTCAGGTTCGCAGTTTCAACAAAATGATCCCAGTGTTCGGTGAAAAGCTGCTCTCGAGGTGCGTCCAATTCGATCTAAACATGTATCTGTTCAGAAAAAATATTCGAGTTGCATTTTCACTAATTACATGTATTGTCGATAATTGTGCTTAAATACCAATCGAAAGAGAAGGAGAAAATATTTTAACTGTAATTTTAAAATGTTATCGATAATGATCGCGAATGATGAAATTCTTGGTGACGCTCGATAATCAAGAAAGAAAGTGCAAAAGCGGAACAATCAATCACAAATTATCACTTCTAAATTTTAACTACTAATTCCACTTAAGTGAGTCAGAGTGAATGAAAAATCGTAAACAGCATTGAATCTCATGAAACTATTATCCGTCATTCAATGAATATTCGACACGAAATGTTCTATGATAACATGACGTGGACGCACAGCTTCTATCCCAACAATTATGTCTGATCTGATAATTTAAAGTGTGCCATAATNACTATTATCCGTCATTCAATGAATATTCGACACGAAATGTTCTATGATAACGCGACGTGCACGCACAGCTTCTATCCCAACAATTATGTCTGATCTGATAATTTGAAGTGTGCCATAATCTAGTGCAACTGTGTCCACAAACGACATACTCGAAGCGTGAAAACTTTGCCAAATTCGAAACGTTTCGAGAAGACAGTGTCGTTATTCTTTTCCTTCTTCTTTTTCCATCCTTCCATCGTTTCGAATTCTGGTGTGTTCAGTACGGACAGCACGTCATTCAATGCTTCTTCGGCCAGTACCAACGCCCCCACATACTCAAACAAACTACTGTTCACAGTTTTTGTAATCATTCTTCGTGTAAAGATGTGTTTATCAACAAATTACTCTCCGAATTTCATTATTTTCATTCTGAATCGCTCAGATCTTCTACCCATACGTCACTGAAGGTTATTACATGTAAGAGGATCCATAATTTAAGACTTATTTGAACTAAACTGATCCAAATCTTGTTTCCTTCAAAAATTTGATTCGCATTGTGTCAGTCATCTGAAGAAGGCTTCAGAAACGCAGTTTCAATGCTTAACAATTCCTGTACTTAGAGCAGTGAAAGTTCATCGCTGGTGAGAACAAAGGAATTTCAAAATGTGTACTGAATTTGGCTAATACCACTGGAATCAACAACACTTGATTTCACAAATGTAACTGTGAAATCTTTTTCCAATGATTGACAATAAAAGGGAGACGATTATAATCTGGTAATTTGATGTGGAATGTAAATGATCGATGTGTTCGAAATAGGATTAGAACGAAGCACAACTGAAAATTTCGAAATACTATCAAATGGAAATAGAAATATGCTATTACCTTTTCATGTTGTGGTTCTAAAGTATCGGTAACGCCTGCAATGGTTATTGAATGTGGCATCTTAGCTGAAAATCGATGAAATTAGAATGAGACAAGTCATCTTTCTCGAACTAGCGATTCATTCAAGAAACACAATTTCTGATTTCCTTGAAACAACAACTGCTATTAGAAGATGAAAGCAGTATCATTTCAAGTGTTTCAAAACGCTCATCTAAGAAAACGTCCACCTGTTACACATTCATACATTTATTGCAATAGCATCAGTTGATTTTTAAATACTGTTGGGCGAACAAATGTGATCCTTTAGGCGTTTTTATTCATATGAGAATTCAGTTGGAAATTTAAGTATTAAAAATAGCATGAACGCATTTTAAAAACTGGAAATCAAAATCGCTATTCTTCAGTAACATCACAATATGACTGCTGAATTGCATAACTTTTATGTGATCCCGATCTACTGCAGCAGTTTCAAGGATTAAAAAAGCGAACATCAGATGCATGAATGATTTGGAACTAAAATTACCAATAAAGCAAATGAAGAAGATGTCTTCAATGCGTACCAAAATAATATAAATTTGATCACTAAGGCATTGGTATATAATATACACATAAAAACCTGACACCGATTAATTGCAAATCGACAATAGTACAGTTGCAGTGATACGACAACACTCAATCAAACAACCATTTTCATTGTAACTGGTTGAGCACAACTGAATTGAATTGTCAATGTCGTAAAGGAAACAGTTGACCTCGATGAGAAGAAATACATTTGAACAACCATCTGAGTACGCTGAAATTTTGGATAAGAAGGAGACGAAAATAATCTCAGAGAAATAGTCATCAATTTGAGAGTATGCACGTTTACTTGGTTTGAAACATCACTGAAAAAGAGACTCACCGAAAAGTTCATGCTATATGAATGACACATGCAAGTATTTAGGCAAAAATATACAAAAATGATGGTTCGTCAACTGATTTCAACAAAAATCCGAACATCAGCCCAGAACTTTTGCGATACATCAGTGCAGTATTTTGCAATTAATCCTTTGACAAACTGTTGGAGTTGGCAGGAAACTATCATTACCAGTGATGCCTAAGCTCCAGAGGTACAAAATTTTTTTGGCTCCCTCAAAAAATGTCACAGTGACATCCAGCAGCCGAAGCTAAGACCTTTTCCGCATTTAAACTTCTCCAGAGCTGGAGCCGGAATGGAGCAGAGGAAAATTCGAAGCTGGAATCGGTGGCGGAGATGAAGGTTTGAAAAAAAATGGAGATGGAGCTGAAATTTTCAAAAATGTGGAGCCGGAGCCAGAATTTTGAAGAGTGAGGAGCTGAACATTTGAGAAAATGGAGTTGGTGCTGAAGGTGGGACGGACGTCTTAAAAACGCGAAGCCGGGGCTTAAGATGGAGTCCAAATTCTAAAAAATGCGAAGCTGGAGTCAAAATTTTGGAAGGAGCGCAGCCGGAGCCGAAAATTTTAAAAACGGAGCCGTAGTCGCGACTGGCCTTTTTTTTTAATTTGAAGTCGGTTAACAAGTCGTTAATCTGAGTGACTGTACCCAGCTGATCTATTATCTTAGCTCATCAAACACTGATTGTTATCCCATCTCTTTACATAACTCCTATGTCACCATTAGGAATTGCACGGGATCGCGGATTCTGCATAGGATTAACAAAATCCCGACCAATTTCTCAATCTCAGCACGATCCCTGAATTGAGCAACTTTTGGAATGTAGAAATGTAACATGCTCAATACATTCAGTGTGTTCATAATTAATGAGAAAACACTTTATTCAACAAAATTCAACAAAACAAAGCATCAACAATAGAGGATAGGTACAATTCATGTACAGATAAAATTCACGATCAGATAAAACTTGTGTATTATAAATTACTAAAACAGCTGCTAAACAATTTTTAAATTATTAAATAATCTTCAAATAATTGCTTCGATTTTCCAGCACCTGAATGAGTTATTTATATGTTTTATTATGAAAATGGTCTCACTTTCACTTGAAAATGGTCTCACTCTTTCTTTCACTTGAAATCCCATTAATTATTTCGCGTTGTTAAGCATAAATGAGACTTTCCTTATATCAAGTGAAGTTCGTCGAATTTATAATTGTTTCTGAGTTTTTGTTTCTTGCACAACTTTACCAGAAGAAAATTAATACAAAAAGGAAACTTTTGAACAAAATTCAGTGAAATTTGAGATCAGCTTTCAGAAAGATTAGAAATTATGAAAACAGTTGAAATAGGACCATAATGAAAGGAATGATCATCCATATTGTGACGAAAAAAATATAATTAAGATTGACATAAAAACGAAAGAACCAAGGAATAAAATTCAGTGAGACTTGAAATAAACTCAGAAACGTTAAAGCGTTGATTGTTGCATCACTCATTCGTGTTCTCACTTTTGTGCAAAAAAAAAAGAAAATGCAGAGGAAGCATGCTCATTTTCAACACTCATCGTTTTAATCGAGCTGTAAAATTTTGTATATTCGCCGCTTCTTGCTTCGTGTAATTCATAGCAATGCATTTCAGAAATGACTCTAATATTCACATCATTACTTTTTTCACAACTTACGGAATTTTGGGAACTCAGCAGTAATTCTATTTTTTTGGGAAAAAATATCATATTCATTCCCATCCTTGGGGAAATCAATTACCATTGATGAGTTGGACTCAGGCTTACCACCATTTTTAGTGATCACTGTCAGCATCACAACATTTTCTTTCATCATCGCCTACCCCATACAATCTGTTCACTTGGAAAATGAAGTAACGTTGATAGCGAACGATGAAGCAGCAGTTACATTATGACGTTCTTGGTCACTGTTTTGTGAAAAACAAAGGCCGAGATGGCGATATGCAATGAATCATCGTTTCATTACCACGTGGGTGGTAAGCAGCAAATATGAGTGCATATGATTAAGCTGCGAATTATTACTGCTTGATTTAAGATGGGTATGCAACCAAGTTCATGAAAAATGACTTGTTTTATCAAATCCCGAGATCTTGGCATTTTTCAAAACATGAATCACGAGGTCGGGACTCAGAAATCGGGATTCCGGGATCCGGGAATTCAGAAATCAACGAAAATTCCGAGAGTAGATGTTCCATTTGCAGATGTACCTTACCGCTCATTATGATTTCTTGATTAATGATATCACATGTGAAAAGATTCATAAGATTCGAACTTTTGTTGTTTACAGACCTCCTCCTTATGCTCAAACAATGCTTCTCTTATGCAAACTGAATCTGTGATTTTATTCTTTGTCGTGACTTCAATTCATCGAAAATTGATTGAAAGACTTTGTCACTGCACAATGCTCAAACCTATCTGGAATTTTATGATTTCCTATCAAGATGATGTATGTCTCGGGAAGGCATACGGCCAACAAGAGCAAACAATGGAGTTGAATCTGTCACGGACTCTATTTTAACAAACTCATATGATCTCTTCTTAATGTGCGAAACAGGTCCCTCCTTTTCCGATTCAGATAATTATTCTGTAATGAATTGTATAAGGTTTGAATTTTTAAAATAAACTACTGACTCCTTTGATAACTTTCGTTTAGCAGATTAATTTCTTTTTTGCACAATTAGACGGGGGTTTCAGAATTAAGATGGCTGCAAAGAAGTCTAAGAAGAATTTGTAAAAATTTTGCAGTCGCATCACTTTATTGAAAACAAAATGAATCATCAGAATATCTCGAAATTAGTATCGGACGAGATTTTCACGGTGAACAAGAGATATGAAAAAAAATTTTTCAAAAGTGTATGAAAAATGACCACAATATTGAGTCTATCTTGGAACATGGCATACTGGTATGCAATGATAAACAATTGCTAATCTTTTATTCTCGTCAAAGACAGTATTTTGCTTGATTTTAGTACTAGAGCAATCCCCAACTCAGTTGAAATCTCAGTTGAACCCTAAATTGTTTACAAATAACTGTCCTCTGTCCGAAGCAAAACACCAAGAACACCTAGGGTCATACTTTAATACTTCTTGAGGGAATGTGCTATCCCTGTCGCATTGACCTGACCCATTATCTTCAAGAGATCAATGGAAACTGGGAGATTGCCAAACTCTCAGAGAACGGCTATTGCGCGTCGATTATTGAAAGAAGGTCAAAAGGAATTGATCGGAAAGTATAGACCCACCCATCTTCTTCTTTTCTGCTGCCGCACAGTATTGGAAAAAATTACTCCACCTAGCATTAAAATTCACCTTCTAAAACGAAAACTGATCAATCAAGAGCAATTTGAATTCACTAAAAAGAGATTAAAAAAAAAACAGCTCATAGCAACTATTGATGGATGTCATCTGAAGTAACCGTTCCACGAAAGTTCTCTTGATAAACTTGTGCTCTTTCGAAATCAAATTATAGGAAGATTGAAGAAAACGGATACATTGATTGCATATATTGTCACTTTCATAAGTCTTCCGATAGCGTCAACTTCAATAAGTTGATTCAGCAGATCATAAGCGTATGGATTAAACGAACCCTGCTACCATGGATAAAAGAATTTTAAACTGTAGAACACAACGAGTTATTGCGAATTATTCTTTCACCGGACCATACTGTCGTGTCCGAGGCATCATAAGGTTTAATTCTGGGCCTATTACTTTTCATAATTTAATAAATAACAAAACATGACTGAAAAAATCCTGACATATAAATGTAACATTGAGGCTACTTTGTTCCATTGTGGTACTTACGCATATGGCAGTTACCTCATCGTCAACTCCATTTTTCGTTACATTTCTAAATACCTAGGATATGCTGCCCTACTCATTCTTTTTGTCTTACTACACATATCAGTGTCCATGCGAACTTTCGCGTTAAATAAAATTATTATCGTCATTACTTATGATTGAAGTGATAAGCAAATATTGTTAATTAGATCTGACTTCGGCATCATTGACATTTCGTTAAGGAACACCATTCTTCTGTCGCCTACATTAGCACTTCAACGATTTCGTCTGGTTGAACTAGGAAGTTCAGAAGGATTAAGTGTTCTTGCCAATTAGTAAACGAATTCCACCTCATCGGGATATTAGAACTACACAAACATTTACTATTAACGATAAAAACCTTCTGATGGACTAGATAGTTCTAGTGCACGAAAATAAGTTCAAGTCATTCGTACTTCGTACAGCGACAAAAACTGCATACAGTTCCACACTGAACTGTTAATGCATCGCCCATTAAGCCAACCACTCATCACAATCAAAGCTAATCTGTTAAACACAATTTTGAATGCAACAACTTCAACACAACATTTTACAGCGTTCTTTATTGATCAAAGCATTTTTATAAGATCACGAAACAGAAGGAACAAATAGACCAAACGCGCTGCAAACAACTGCATTTTATTTGTTCGCCCAGTTGACGCGCAACGTACGACCATTGAAGTCGGCTCCATTTAGTGTGTTAATCGCACCCTGTGCTGATGCCTCATCCATGAAATCACAGAAGCCGAACCCTTTAGAACGACCCGTTTCGCGATCGTATACCAAACTAAAATCACCATCACTAAATGAAAATATTAAATTTTTTTTCGTAAAAAAATTTCAAAAAAATATCAAAAATGTAGAAAGCCGTCAGCGTACACAAAGTAATACAAATACATTAATGTACAATCAATTCAGCTTTCCATTGAAAGGCAGCCATAAATCTAGCACTGCAGGTTTACTCTGCCATCTTATGAGTACAATCATTTCTCACGTAATCGCTTCCAACTGAACTGGGATTGATAACCACTAACAGTTGGGATCAAACGTGAAAGTTCGAGAAATCAGAAGTACGTAGAGGAATGAATTCTATAAAACCAAACTCGATTCTCTTAGCAATTTACCCAAAACTAGAATAAAGACTGAAACACATTTATGAATAATGCCGTTGTGACTAGCTTGTTTTTTAACAACTGCTAGCAAAAAACTGATCAAAGCTGAGAATATGTCAAACACTAAAAGCAAATAAAAAAGAAAACTGCACAACGAAAATCTTACCGCACGTTCAGGACGGTTCCAGCTCGGCTAAAGAAATTCCCCACATCCATTTCAGAACAATTGTACGGTATATTACCCACTGAAAAGACGAAAATTAAATCCAAGTTATCAAAACAATTGTCTAAATATTGGAACGAGGACTTTACCGTACACACATAATTCCCTCATTTATTTATGCCATCTGAGGTAACCGTTCCACGAAAGTTCTCTTGATAAACTTGTGCTCTTTCGAAAGCAAATTCTTGCCCTTGAACGACGTTGCCTTATAAAGTCATCACACTGTCTCTTACATACTTGAACGAATAATATCGTGATCAGCGTGTCTGTCACAAGTTCGAATGGTACTCTGTACAGCACACACGGTGAGGAGAACTTTAATAACTTACGCTCCACTTTCTACACTAATAATGCACCACTCTTAAATCTATAATCGCTGCACTACAATCCAGAACCGATTTGGAACGAGAGGACTATGAGAGATGGCACAAAATCTACAATTTATTACCACCTGTTCCGTTATCTGGTTTAAGCGCAACAGGTCGCATGCGAGTTATAAAAATGCGGCTTGCTTGATAAAAGCCTCTCTGAGCATCTCCCGCTCAGCACCTGTAATAATGACCATAACATTATTATTCGCAACACCGATATCCTGAAACTCACCTACTTAAGCTGCGTATATCACTCAAACAACTTCAGTCCGAACACGGCACTGCCATTTTATAAAACGCAATCTCAAGTTTTGCCTTACAACCTTACAATACTAACACCTACGATGCGGTCTGAATTCAACTGTGATCAAACTTCTCACACTGAAAGCTGTTCATCGCTACCCTAAACCTTCTCAACCTTCGAACTCGGCGATTATTCCTATAATTGGACAGGCGTAAGAGACACACTTTATCGATTTATACCAAATGACTCATATAGATGGCAACATTATTAAATCTTGAGAACGGAGTCATTGACACAGTCGATTGCAAAAATTTATTACGAACTTACCTGCAATCGATCACTGCCCATAACTATTAATTGGTTGATTAACGCAATTTATACCTTCCATCTGATACGTTGTCGTTCTTCATACTAACCCTCAGTGCTTTCCATATACGAAAAATCAGAAAAAGCACATGTGCCAACCGGTACATGAATCGATTGTAAATGGTACATGAACCGCTTGACAAAGATTCAATGCAGTACAATATGAGCGCCTTCATTGGCTCGTACAGAAGATCATAGATCGGCTCATTATAGCAACAAATATGCAAGCTTAAACAGGCATTGCTAATCTCGCCGACATTCAAAATGCATTAAAGCATTACGATTCTGAACAGCCATACTGCGATCAAATTCCAAGATTATATGGTCGATATCACCAGTAGTTTACTTCAAAACCATTTCGAAACAACGAATCTAATGCGTCGCCAAATGCACTAATAGTAGGATAAGATGACCTTTTCAGTGAAACACTGGAGACAACCCAATACAGCCCCGATCACCGAGACAATTAATCTTAGGTCTCCTTCACAAATTTGCTCAACAATCCTCAAAAACTAGGTAAAAAGATTACACAGTGGCATCGAGCATTAATATGAAATCACTTTTGCAACGAAGCCTCAACATTACATGCAATCCCAAAAAGAGAAACTATTTCTGAGTTCAGAACACCGTTCTTTTTCTTGGCAAACTGGAGGTACTAATGCCGGAACTGAGGAAGACAGTACAAAAGGCTTGGCGCATTCTTAAGAACAACGGTAAGGTGCCGTATGGTACAACTGCCCTTCTGGGTCAACATATTTCAGTTACATCAGAAGAAGTCACTAGGAAAACACTGATCAACCAGTCGATTACGCTAATGCACATAAACGCCCTACCCGAGTTTAGGTTACCATCCCTAATACTCCTTAAATTTGTTCAACCACCGTCAAACATCGTACCTTCGACTTGAAACATGCTCGTTGCAGAAAGAGCATCCTCGAAGGACTGATAACTTCAATCTTCAAGGTGCCATCTTCTAATGCACCATCAAACTTGTTGAAGTTTGATGGTGCACCATCTTAAATACAACTACAGACCATTTAAATCAATTCGAATAAACTTGCCGTAGACGGAGAATTTATTGCTTGGTGCCACATCAGCCATATCTCCAAAATTCTTCAGACCAAAACTTCAAAACGAAACGTTAGTAACTGGGATAACTAGAACAATTATACACAACCAACGTCGTCCTTCTTGCTTCCCTATTGTCACGCACACAACGATAGCTTTTTTCTCTCAGAGGGAATATTTTAGGCGCTAAATTCGAAGATTTTGAATGGATGAATCAGGATCGAAATGAAGTAAATGGTTTGGCGTGGCGCGAAATTTGAATGGCGACGGTAAATGCACTATCGTGGATGTTTAATGCGGGAAGTTTAAACGCAAAAAAAGATTGCAGTTTTCATCGTAGACTGTTCCGTTATAATGATTCATTCAGGGCGTGGATTACATGTATTGGGTCGGGCAGTACAACTGAAAGTTTCAGTGGCCACAAATTAGTAAAAGTTTTCCAATTGATACAAGAAGAACTCGAATGCAGTTGTTCGCGGAGCTTGGTCAAGTAATAGTAGCTGCACTACAGTTTTTTGCTTTCTGAGGGTATTTCATTTGAAAAAACGATCACGCCAAATACTATCATCAGTACATCTTACGAGACTTATCTTTACGGGTTTCGAACTCTCGATCAAAACTTTTTAATTTCCACGCATGCGAAACAACTTGCATCAAATTTCTGCTCGGTGAAAAAACTTCGGTTATGATCAAAATCTACAAGTATCACTGAGCTTGGTTTTAATCACATTTTTGCAATGCCTTCAATCAGCGTATCGTAGAGAGTTCGTAACATCAGTAATTCACTGGTAAGTACTCAAGAAAATTAGTTTCAGATACTTTAATATAACGATGGAATTTGCAATTGTGGTCACCGTATAATTATCTCCCAGCTACTATATCGCTACTATATCGTATCTTGTAATTACACATTCAGATGTCATTTTCCAGCATATCCGTTAAGGTTACATCTGGATTTATTTAGTGGAATTATTATTACTGCAACAAATTATCATCACACTTTGATATGCTATTGTTGCGTATTAATTTTTCAAACGCAAGTACAAAAATTGAACGGATAACGAATTTGCTATAACATGGGTGAAACTGTGGAAACGCATGAAGCCTAAAAAATTATTTTGATATTTTGAAAATACTTTGGAAAGATTCAACTCAAAAGCAGCAGACAATTCTCATTCCATCGAGCTGTGATTGAAATGTTTCAAGTAATTTAATAATCAAATTAGTGCCGAGTAAGAGCAGTTTGGTTTTATGGTAATACGAAAAGTTTGATAATTTTGAATATGCCATCTCCAAAGATCCCTAGCACTGAGTGCGTTTTTCTCATGAAGCTATGTTTCGAACGACTTGGAAAACTTGATAAGTTCTACATAAGGCAAGGTTGATTTACTTCTGATATAGCCTCAACCAAGGGTGTGAGTTTATCAATACAGCAATTTTTCGATATCCATATGAATACACATTGAATCTTTCAAACTTCTACTAAATTTCCGATGTCCTATTACTAGTGTCGTGTGATCAACGGACAAGATGCTTGCAGTGGGTGAAATAAACCGCTGTAACAAATTCGATGTAATGGAATGATTATTCGACAATAAAGAAATCAATTAATATTAAAATTTCTGGTGAACGAAAACAATGGATGCGGTGGAATCATAACAAGAACATACGCAATTCTCATTCATGAATATGATGGAAACACAAACAAAAATGCATTCACATACATCTTGGCACATTGAAGGCAGTAACTGAATGAATTAAATGGTAAGTTTAAAAAAAACAACGCATAATACCGCATCGAATACATGAATTACATCATTTTAACAATACCTGCAACAAATCTATCACCCATCAACATCACCATTGCATAGTGGCATCAATCAAAGTCTTAGTTGGGTGACAGAATAATTTTTGGTGACCGGTTTCATACTAAAAATAATACTTCAAAACAATAAGAAAACATTATTTCTATAATGATTGCTAACAAACAACGATCGTTAATTTGTATTGTTTTACCAAACATCTGAAGTCGTGACAATTACATCATCTCATTGATTCACACCTCTTCATAACAACTTTGATGATACAAACTAACAATGCGATATTTCACAAATCATTTTATAAATAATGTGAAATGATCTTTCGTGAATCATAAATCATAATCTGCTGATAAACATTACATAACGCATTATGCTAGAATGGTAATTATTATTTCTACATAAAAATCATGATGGTACAAAATCAGCATCGAGAATGATATCATTATTAACTGAATCAGTCGATAAATAATAGTAAATAGCACATGTTCAAAACCGCATGGATACATTGATGCGGTATCATTCAATACAATTAACGGATGAATTTTTTCACGAGGAGAGTAAACAAATGAAATCGAAGAGGCGAATATATTCATTTCCTAAATGGGATTGCAAATTGTTCGGAAAATAACAATAAAGACAAAATAAGATTTATGTGAATTATGATCTAACAAGATCGTTATAATGGCTACAATAGTGATGATACAATTAATTCACTATCAGACAAAAATGTCGATAATAATGATACATTCATTACACTGAGTGATATTATAGATGAGCGAGGTAAAACAAACTGTCAAGAAACATTCGAAATATCAAAATTTGCTTTATACAACTATCTGTTGCAACCAACTCTTCGTATGCTAAATTAGATTTCGATCGACGAAAAACGTTCATAATGAAAAATATTCTGATGCAAGTCTGAGAAATCTCCAGTAACTCAAATAACCAGAAAATCGCAGATCTTGTAAGCAAAAACGTATGAAATATTCAATGCTGTGACTGATGTGAATAATACGTATTTAAAGCTAATACAAAATCAAAAAGCCTTCATATTCACTCAAATATCATTATTTTCTTCTTCAGTACAACAAGATATATCTGGATGAACGTTTTGATGTGCAGTCACAAATGTGTCGTTGTTGCTTACAGACGGTCGCTTTAATAACTTACGCAGTCTTGCGATCTCCTCATTTGCACGATCCAAATCACTGCTCAACAACGACTGTCTGAATATTAGGCAGAGTTGGTTGGTTTCTTTCATGTTGCAATATTTCATGTTTATTAAGATTTCATTAGTCAAAGTCATTAAGTACATTTCGGAGCGGAAGGACTGTGAAATTAACATTCTTCGGGATGAAATTTTAAAAATCGTCCATAAAAATAACAAAATTTCAATGATACAAGGAATGGAACAAATATAATCATTTAGCTCCATCGATGAAAGTTGATTACCATCTAACTGTTGATTTTTCAACGTTCCGAAACTAAATAGACTAAGTGCAATGTTTGAAACAATCATGCTAGAAACGAACAAGCAACTTCATAGTTGACTTTAGAATAGTAGAGCTTTGCGTGATATGATAGAATAATTGAAAATTTGTGGCAGTCTAACCGTTGTTTGAGTTTCTTGATATCGGTTTTACAAGAAACATTCTGCCTGAGAAGATCTGCTTTCTCATTTTTCAGTTTTTCAACGTCTGTCAATAACTCATCAAGACGTCTCATTTCTTCCTCGTGGAACGCTGATGCACCATCCACACAAAAACTACATGATAAGCGATTCGAGTGAGGCACTTCAGTTGACGACATTGATTCCTACAGAAAAGCAAAAAATATTTTAATATCATGATCAAATTGTGTTTAGTCTTTTTTTGCTGATAGCAATTTATTAAGCTTAAAGGCAAAGCAACTGAATTACACCTCCGAAAAGGTCTATCCGGGATGACAAACTGTATGCTAGGCAACGAACAAAAAACATGAAAATTCAACCGCAATAATATAAACTGATTGATGTATAATGATAAAAAGACCCAAAAAAATGAAGCGATCTTCTTATGATGCGAAAAAATGATGAAAGTTTTGACTGGAATGAAACAAACGATAGTCAACTGAGAATGCACTTTGATGAGTACGCTATGAACAGATTAAAGCAATGAGGTTCGCTAGAATACTGATTATTCACTCACCATGCCTGTATCTGAATCATGCTCCATTTCGATGCTATCATTCTCCAAACTTGAAACATCCCATTCCGGCTGATGACGCTTCCTGAAAAAATCTTCTTTTGATTTGTAAAACAAGATTGAATTGAAGATTATAGGCAGTGCAGGCTGAAAGAATAAAATTAAGCACATAAATAGAGAATGGACTATATCTCGATTGAAACTGCATCAGAAGAAAAGATTATTACCAACCCTTGTTGTTCTACAGGTTGTGCTGAAGTTTTAGCTGAAGAAGTCCGAGAAACAATACGCTTTTGAACACCACTAATAATAGCTGCCGATGATGTAACCGATTCAGACTGATTAAGACGCTGTTCATTTCCGTATAAATCGTCACATGTTATCCTGATAAATCGTCCTGATATTATGACGACCATAAAACATATAAGGAGAAGAAAAAACTGCTGGTGATTTATGAGCTGTTTATTAATAAGGCACTCGTCCTGTGGTTCCATATTGCAGATTGGCTTTGACTTTCACAGAATTAGTGAAAAAGTGCAGTACTACTTCGGAGCAGTTGATGAACTAACTTTCGATGCACATCGCCAGATGAGTTTGGTTGATGTATACTACTTCCAGCACCACTAGTCGATGAGTTTGAACTTTTCGAGAGTGCATCAGCGTTTGGTATTGACTTACGATCGGTTGTATTCGAGCGACTAGGACTAACCAAGTTAGATGTTATGGAACGTATCGCAACAGTATTCATTTCTTGAGATACAGAACGTGAACTGAATCGAAAATAGAATTTTATCGCACGTAGTTATTGAATAAGGTTGTGTTTCTTTGTCGAATAACAGATGCAGCGATATGTGTGATTTGTTGATTGAAATATGTCATCATTTACAGACAAACAGTTATCGCTCGCATGAAAAACGACTTACAATTAGATAGCAAAGAGTAAACCAGGACAGGACAACTAACCGGCCAGTGATTGCTCTTTTGACCGAATGAAAGAGTCCCAGAGAGTGAGGAGGCATATTGTCGGTGGATTCAAGTAAAGGAAGTCCATAAAATTCGGCACGTTCTTTGAGATTTCCATAAAGCACATCCAACAGCGAGGAACGCGTTCGTTCCTGAATGAATCGCTTTCAATCTTGGATGATTATGAAAGTATTCATTTTGGCTTATTGGATACTAGTGAGATGTTTTCATACTAAAATAGATTTCTAACTCGAGGAAGGACCTTGAAAAGCTGACCATTTCGAAATGATAACTTTGAAGGAAGATATTGTTTTGTATCTTGAATAATTCATAAAATCTCTTCGACTGAAACAGTCAAAAAATGAACATCAAAGATCATTGCATTTTTCGTATAACATCAACTTTACGAATTATTCACCGCAAGTTTAGCGAATTTTTCAGACTTGTATGCAGCATTTTCGGCATTGATTAACTTGGTGAGTAGAAAGTTGCGAAAGTCTTGTCCTTTACGAAATATGGATGGCGCTGGAAGGGTTGGACCGAAAAATGGAACATCATCTCGAGCAGTAACTGATACCTGAAAGTTATTATCGAGTGCACTGAACATAAGTCAGTCGATAACAGTGTCAGGGTGTATCCTCGTTAATATTTGAAATGAAAGATGGAATAAACCTCATTGTGATCGTATCTCTTTAACTGAACGAGAATTGAGAAGATTAATATAAAACAAGATGAATATGAAACGAATCAAAACTGGCGATCATCAAAGGAAAATATGGCGGCGGATTACATTTGAGCTCACGTTCAGGTTTATACTGATCGTGAGGGTGAGTTAATTTCAGCTGACTGAAAAAATAGCGAAAAATTTCGCTAAAACGCTAAGTCAATAAAAATAGTTCACTAATTGCTACTTTCGAATCCTCCCTCAAAATTTATAACTGCATCATTCATTTGTCCGAGAAAAAGCTTCATTACGCCACTAAACAGGTGAAAATTTTTATTGCGTCATTCAAAAACAGATAATCATTCTAGCCAGCTATGAGTACGAGTCAATAATAAAAACAATTGGCATATAATTGGTATAATAAAACTATCGATTGGTATATAAAAGTCATCCGAAAACGTGGACTATCGCCGGAATAATTGCATTTGAATGAAAACGCACGAACTTATGCACCAACCCAATAATCCCTTTAAACTTGCTGTCAAACGTTGCAAATTGAACAATACAAAATTCTCGTTTGCAAATAGAATCGTTGGAGCTTGAAATTTACTCTTCAACATATTGCCTCCTCATAATTGCTTGACGTATTGGAATGTAGACTTCGATCATTCATGAAGTGAAATCGGATTCATATCCTAGTTAAAACCACTCTCACTATTTAACAAGAGGACGTAGAGAAATCGGAAGAAAAAGTCACTTCACCCACCTCGATTCACTCATTCCTATTTTATTGACTCAGTATTGAATAAAATTTGATTTTTTCCTCTTTTCTCAACCTTATCCTCTTCTTAGCACCAGTCGAGTCAGTACACTTACTATATTATAATCACCTGCACAGAACATAGCTTCACATATTTTTATGCGAATAAATATCAATCATATCCTTTCCCAGCTATAACAAAATTGAAGGAAGATTCATTGCACCATCACCCAACTTATCTTAAGCCAAATAGCTTAGTGGTCTGTGATGGAATGCTAGTGGTGTACTTAGAGCAAACGTTTGAGATACGATTGAATATTCAACTTTCTAATCTATCGGAAGAGTACGAATTCGATTTCAGAACTTCATAGTGTTGTAGCGCAAATATGTATTTACATAACTTAATGCTGGAAATGCAAATCAAAGAAAGTAGCATATGTTTTCACTACTTTGTCGCTAAAAAAATTATCACAGCGGAAGTTTTCACCACAAATATTCGTTATTTGAAAAAAAGCAGCACGCTATCGCGTTACCGAAAAAGTAGCTCCGACTTTAGCGGAATAGCGAAACAGCGCACTATTGCCCACCTTTGGTGATAAGGTATCTGTCAAACAAATAGACCGTTCCTTTGTGTGAGCCTCAATCTAAATGTAGTCCATCGTCACAATTCACTTTGATTATCGCTACGTGCGAATCAATGATAACAAATTTTTGAATCGCGTCCTCATACCCGATATCGTAATTTTTCCGAACCAGCATCGATCGGCTGCACGACGATGAAGGCATGCAGAAAATTGCTCGCGATCATATCTGGTGAAAACGGTGTATTCTCTTCCTGTAAATTTTTCTGCATTCCAACTCAATAACTTCATTTTAAAATGCAAAATGGACCGCTGTATTACCAGAAATGAATCTGAAATAAATTTCAAGGATCACTGTTGTAAATATGATGACCTGGAATATTATGGCAACAATATCGTTGCCTATATGTCGTTTTCTTTGCAGCTGTTGAACATCACCGGCAGTGAACGGAAGCATGGTTGAAACATGAAACATTACTTCACGTTGTCTGAACTGGCAGTACACTGATTCGGAGCCAGTTTGATCGTGTTGTGTGTCTAGACCACCTCGATAACCCTTCGGAATAAACATGCGTCGATCATTGTTCATTCAACTTGAGCAAGATAGATATTAGTCTAATTTAACTTATCGCCAACGAATTCGGTGGGTTTGACTCAAACTGATTAGTTACAGTGGGCAATGCTGTACAAGTATTGAAAAATGTTTCAGAGAATTTCTTAATACAAAAAGTGCTGTACAAAAATTTCTTCGAATGAAAATAAACGAAAAAGATATTTTCAGCAAAAACGAATGCAAAAAAAAAACTCGCAATGCATGCTATATTTCAGGACTGCCACCAATAAAAAAGCATTCAACATATTCGTTACCCTATACATGTTCATTTTCATCAAGGCTTGGATTAAGGAAAGAAACAACAGCTACCTCAAATTCTTTCAGTGAAACCCGATCACCAAGCACATCAAGAAATTCATCGAAAGCATCTGATATGTTGGCATTACCGAACAATTCTTCTTCTGTTGTCTACAAAATAATTGAAAAAGTGAATACAATGTTACGTGTGCAAAAGTTGTTGCTTATTGAAGTTTGTAACAAAAGCTATCAAAGAAAGACACAATTGAAACATTTAGCGCTTCAGGAAATTACAATCATCTAATGCAATCATTTTCAGTATCGAAAAAATTCTCGGCAGATGAGTTGATAATCTTTTGAATCAACAACATATCCATCTCAGTGATATAATCCGAATCGATTTTCGACTAAGACAACTGTATACTGACACAAACGAACAACAGACAGTAAATAATCCAGAACACGTATGAAATGTACATAAGATGATATTTGTTGCCGTTTACCGTTGGGTATGTATTGTGTCACTTTCACTTGAATGTAACTGCAAAGAAAATGACAAACCTGCGCAAACTTTTGGTAAACAACACCAAATTTATAGGTATTCGTAAGCACATGTTCATCGTATTGTAAAATCATATCTGTTCCACCAGGGAATGCAATTGGACAAAATCGTTCCGTGGTAACTTCATCGCATAATAAACGTGCCATTCGACTGGCTGATGGACGATTTCCAAGAGCTAGAAAGAGAAGATCATAGTGAATAGCACTAAAAGCAGTTATCATCAGGCTTATTATAATTTCTTCGGAGACTGAAAGTGAGGAAAAACTATAGGCAATTACCTCAATCAGAGAACAAGTGATCGATGATACCGGAACTCTTATGCAATTAGGGCATTATTAATAGATGCCAATTGTAAATGAAAATACGTTCGCATTACAAGAAGTGATTTGTAATATTCTACTTCATAATACCACTTGTATTTGTTCACATTTGAGTTCACTTATATCTTATTCAACGAATTGATTCCACTCAATGAAGGTGAATTTTTTAATGAGCAGTATGAACCTGATGCTGGAACAATTTCATGCACTGTGCCATGTCGGGTCCGCAGCATAATCCGGAAATGATCCTGAGAGGAGATCGTTTCGGTTCGTACCGAGAGCACAAGTGGACCAAGGTTGTTGTCAATTGCATAGAAATCGTGATGTTCCTGAATGCAAGAAGCGCGAATTCTCGGAAAGACTTCATGAATGAAGTGCAACTCGGTTCTACTTCAAATACATTCAAGAAGTAACGAACTCTTCCAACGAAATATCTCCTATAGCAGTGTGAAGTCTCGTCGGTCTCCAGTTTGAAGCGTGCGCAACTGCTACTGCTTGCTGGGGAGCATGCGGTAATTTCGTCATCAATATTGATCGTACAACTGTTCACTCCATCCATCCAGTAACCACCCATCGGCGGTAAAACAATCTGAGGATATGGTCCCTGACGGCTTAACAGCTGAAAATTTTCTTGCATTCATGCATATTATGAAAAACAATCTCTTCATTTAGGATGGAACTTAATCAATGTTACCAAATCGATGCATAGAGGTGTGTGACAATAAAAAACTTCTCCTTGTTCAAAAAGACATGCTTATGTAAATACCAAATAATCGTGCAAGCCCTTCCACATTCAAAACTTCGGGTGTTCAAATAATTAAGCAGAACAGTAACCTCTTTTATCGTTTCTCTCGTTTTAGTGTTGTCCCTGAACGCTTTCCTCTCACATGGTGGAGTCTGGAAAATCAAAGTTCAGCTTATAAAATAAGAAGATATGAAACAAATCTGGAGAAAAACGTGAGAGATGAAGCCGGAATGGCCATCGAGTAAAATTCTCATCAGTGGTCTTAAAGGAAACGCATGAAGCCTAAAAAATTATTTTGATATTTTGAAAATACTTTGGAAAGATTCAACTCAAAAGCAGCAGACGATTCTCATTCCATCGAGCTGTGATTGAAATGTTTCAAGTAATTTAATAATCAAATTAGTGCCGAGTAAGGGCAGTTTGGTTTTATGGTAATACGAAAAGTTTGATGCGGCTGACAAGTGAATATAACACCTAGTGTGACAATGATGTAATTTATCGCTGAAAAACAAGTGAACCCAAGGCCGAAATTCAAAGATGAAATCGGCAAAAATACGAGCAATTCCATCGATATTTACGATTTTGAAGACGTTGTTCAACTGGTACGAATTTAATGAAGCAATGATGATAATATATAAAAATCCCCCTAAAAAACACATAATCTACCTTCAATTTGTAAAATGATTCATATGAGAAATCGCCTACCAATAGCCACGTATAATATATTGAATACAATCAATCTATACAGCTTGCTAATATACTTTGAAAGAAAAAAAAAATACTTTGACGCGCAAAGCTCCTTTACGATATCGTTAACTTATTCATTCTCATTCATGAAACCCTGCATCCATGAAGAAGAACACCTACTTACCATGTTTGCTAACAAACTCATCGTACAATACCTCAATGAAAAGTCATAAACTAGAAACGTATTGCTGATGAATGCTTACGAATAAATGACTGGACTGGTCAAATTTAATCGAGAAATTTTACTGCAACAGCACTTTCAAAAGCAGCAACTATCTTAAAGTGCACAATGAAATATGCACTTTTTAATGAGTTATCAAATAACATTCAATTATTCATAACCGCAGAGCTGAACGACGAATCAAACAGCATGCTATGTTTGACAAGTGCAGTGAAATACAAAAATAAGAACATTTATAAAGCAATTTGTCTTAGCCAACTGTTATACTCTATCAGATTGGCGCTGAAATGATCTTCCAATTGAGAAACGTGAAATTCTCAATAATGATTTAAAATACTCACAGAACAAAAATGAGCTGCAGTTTGGAGGGTTGAAGAGGATTTGTGCGGAACGAGATTAGGTGAAACAGTGATCGCAGAGGAACTAAAATTACTGTTGTGAGCAGTAGATGTGGTGGTAGAAAGAGTGCTTGAAGAGGACAGCGCTGAATTGCTCGATTTCTTTTTGAGCATGAATAAACCCAAAATGCTACTGTGCCTTCGAGCATGGCCTTTCGAATGGATCAAATCAACACCCATTTGTGAAAGTTTTGTGCGATTACTAGAAGAAGAAGCAGCTGCCTCTGAATGCCAATTTGTCTCTGAAAAAAGACGTCGATTGTGGCCGTTTGAGGTCAAAAAATGCGCCTTCAGTTGCTCAAGTTTAGGACGATTTTGTGAGATTGGTATATCGCTGTATTCACGTCTGAATGCACCACGACAAAACCATCTTGGGCCTGCAGAAGCATTCGACAATTGTGAATAAGTGTCACTTCTCAACGATGAATTAGAGAAGTTGGCTTGACGTGTATCTGTTGCTGAAGACGAACAACATTCGGAATTTGTAACCAACATTTTTGATGACGCATCTTTCGAATACGGATTATGAGAAGACTGATGATGCGCACAGTTTGATGCGCTTTTCACAGGAGGCAATAGATGTGTGCAATTTTTCGTTGAATTACTGCTGTTAGCACCGAGATTCGACATCCGTGAGGTGCTTTTTTCGGCAGAAAGATTGAGCTGATTAGGAGATTTATTGAAAGTAGTATCGGCAATAGATGTGGATGTTTTGGTAAGGGTAAGGGTAGTATTTTTTGTTGGATTCAATGATGAAGAAGTATGATCGTTTGCTGCCTTCTTTGATGCAAGAATACCATTCGAAGATTTCTTTGATGAGTGTTTTTTGCGAGTTGCATCATCAATCGAAGTTGTTCCAGCAGATTTTTTGCTTGAAAGGCATTCTTGCAAGCTGAGTGATGTTTTTGACGTCATTGGTGTTGATGTTCGTGGACTGTTACGCTGGTTCTTCACAATATTCGAATCTTGTTTCACAACAGACGACGTTTTGATAGCAGTCGACTTTTCAGTGGAAACTTCATTCGCAGTAGCAGCAATAGACGGTGGAGTTATAGACACATTATGAAGGACTCTGGTTTTTGTGCTTCTGTTTGCATTAGAATTAGGATTAGTATTTGGAGTGCTACTACTGTTACTAGTAGCTGCAGTGATCTTTCCAGAAGACAATCGCCTCACTATACGTCGTTTAAGGTGTTCAGACCTTTGGTTCGTACTTCTCTTGTTTGCAGTTGTATTCGGGCTTACAACTGTAGAAGTTATTGAACGTTGTTCTTTCACATAAATATCAGAAACCGATTTTTTTGAGATTTTAGATGAACGAATTAAATAGTCGTTTGGTGGAGCTTTAGATGAACTCGACGCAAGATTATGCACATCAGAATATTCAGAAGTGTGGATTGAAGTTGCGATGTTATAAGAAGAGTTGTTATTGATCGTATTGGGTTGCTGAGGAATATCGATCATTGACGATAGCATCAATGCAGCAGATTCAGTTAAGCAACGATTGAAAGTCGATGATGTATCGTTCACTGTCGAATCGTTTGTGCTATCGCTTGTTAAAACAGCTGTCGATGATGAGAATAATAATGGAGAAATGGCATTATTCAATTTGGTATTATCCATCACTGAGTCAACATAACCATTTGTACTATTGCTCGTAGTAAGATTATTTGCGATGAGATTTGCTGTTGTATTATTTGTAGAAGTGCTGATGGTGGTGCTTTCGATTCGATGATTACAGGTATTATTATTATCATTATTATTATTGTTATTATTATTAGTATTGTTATTATTACTATTATTATTATTGTTATTATTATTAATATTATTATTATTATTATTATTATTATTGTTATCATTATTGTGTGGTGATGTTGACGAAGATAAAGATGGTTGTAACAGAGATAAATGTAACGCTTTCGGCTGTCGTTCCATCTTGAAATGAGCACTGCCAATGCGGATGATGTCACTGTTGCGAGCTGCAGGTGCTTCACATGGAATATCTGACGAATACTGTACCGCCATCTTCTTGTGCACCATCCGCTTCTGATCGTTACGATTCTTACATCCGAATCCGCCCCTTAGCCAACACCAACTACATGGTTGGTTCTTTGTATCCAGTTTCTTATTCGTATTATCACTATCATCATCAGCATTACCATGTTCGGTTCTATTATTACCTGCAGTCAGCACTGACGATTCAGCAGCATTTGCAGCGAACATCATTTCAATGGCTGTGTGCTGTTCTCCATTCTTCAAATTGTTCAGAAATTTCGAATGAATCGGACAAAAATTACTGCTCAGTTCTTCTTCTTCGATCTCTTCATTCAACACCTCTTGGTCTTGCTGTGCTGTCTGTTGATTCAGACTAAGCGAGTTTCTATCGAGCGAAGGAATACGATAACGATTATGTTCTTCGTTCAGAGTGTGTGATAGCCAATAAAAACGATTATTCATAATAGCTTATTGCGCTATATGCAGCCGTCTGGTGATTAACATGCACTCATTCAGCAAAACCCAACCGAGTCGAAAATATTTCACATATAAATAACTATAAGTATATGAATGACACATTGAATAATTAGGAAACATCAATTAATTGCAATTAAATGAAAGGATGCATCCCTATGGAACCAAGCATATCATTTTCATCATGTTGTATTTTTATAAATAGCATCTTGCTCTCATCATTGACTTATTACGGATATGCAGTTGAATGAATGGATGAAGAATGACTGGTCACCAAATTCGAAGTAGTTAGTAATATATTGATGAACACGTTCAGTCTTTACGTAATTCAGAAGTAGTAATATTTAGATTCGATAGCATACAGCTGGTAGCTACATACAGCTCTTTTATAACAATGATCTCAGTAACAATAAATATCAGTAATAATAACGCATCTATGCTCAATTAATATTCGAACTGTTGTGTGGCCGTATGAGATAAATACCAAAAATAATTCCATCTGCACACAACAACTTGTTAATATGCAAATGATTCATTTTATTCAGTATGTATTATATAACAGGCACCATAAAATTTTATTTTATATTTATTATTGCACACCTGAATAAATACACCATCCAAACTGCATTAGATCTCAATGGCACACTGCTAGAAGCATACTGATAATCGCACAACTCAACTTCAGCTTCTACGAATTGCTCTCTAACAACAAGGTGATATTCAGTCAAAATGCATGAATTCTTGCCGAAGATACTGCAGTGAAACTTTTATCGTTATTCATTTTCGAATATAATGGATCGGGGACCTTTGCGTATCACCAAATAAAAGATGCAGTTAATCTGCGTTCTAGCAGATACTGCGAGTTGGTGAAGCTCATAGAAATGCAAGCTGCAAGCACAATAATAAACAAGTTTGCATATCAGCAGCAATTCAGTAGATTGCTATTCATAGTCAGCAACTAATCAGTGAGTGATTGACGAGTGTATATGTTCATAACCGATGGAGAATGAATGTTGTTGTTGAGTGAGTTATTCTGTCGGTTAAAAATGTATGCTAACAATGATAATAACGTAGAAGACAGGTGTAGGAATCGCTTCCACCAACACTCTATCCAACCATTATCATACATCATACCAATAACGCTATGATCCATGTAGTAATTGAATGCATAGAAATCATTCACTCATATTGTTTAATTAGCATCAACGTGTATGTTAGTTTCATGTTTTAACATGATACCATTCATTCACTACCGCACAACCACAAAATCCATTCAAAATCGTTGTTATCTTCATCATTAGTACTAATTTCGAAATCAAATAACGAACGCATTTTAAAGACTCAAATTTTTAAGCAGAAAAGACGTCGTCGTAAATTATTGCTCATTCCGATATCAATATGCGAAAAAAACATCAGTACAGTTTATCCAAATGCTTGGTTTTCTTTTTAAGAACTCTTACTATCTGAGATAACATTCACTAACTATAAGATGTTTTTTTCTCGTTACAGATCTGATCACACTGAGAATTTTTTTGTCACTTTTTCTTTCCTTTGACACAAATGCACATCGCCAAGCACATATACATACGACCACACTTAAAAAAGAAAATGACTGCTCAAAAAAACAACAACAATAAAGAGAACGCGCTATCAATCATTCAGAAGCTGAGCAATGTGCATCATCAAACCGTTCACCGTAAAATTATAAATTTTTTCCTAGCTTCAACAACAATCCTTCATCGATGGGACTAATAAAACTCGCCTAACATATGTTTATCCTCATTTTTTTCTCACCCTAACCACATTCATATTATTGATATATGGATGGATGAATGAACGAATCAAGACGACAGAATACAGAAGATGCTTGCACGTGTTATGCTGCATCACTTAATTTATGTACGATATGTATACTAAATTGTTACTAGACATCCTCATAGAAACTAGAGACAAAAGTGTTGTGAGCCATAAGGTGCTTGCCTCAACTATATTTTGCATTTCAAGTTTCGAGAATTGTCTTCTTGAACTCACATTCGCATCGGGCATTTCACAACGTTGATCATCCAATCGTTGACTTTGCATGCGCTCTAAGAGCGCCAGAAATTCCTGCGCCTGAAAGCAATGAAATGATGAATGAAGGAATCTTTTGCTTTTCAGGATATGTGTATAATCCTTTATCTGCTTTTTATTTTTCCAAACAAAAATTGATGACTAGATGAAGTCTGAAGTGATGTAAAGCCAAAGGATTGGTGAACTGCTATGCAAAATCTACAGCAATATATCAAATTAGCTCAAGAACGCATTCGATAATCTACAGTATCAATGATCGATGAATTGTTTTCTACATAAGTTTTTGATATGCTGAGTTGTGCAAATCTGATGAGGTTTCAAAGAAACGTAAACAGAACGCTAGCAAACGAATTTTATGCTTTTTTAAAACAACATTAGCACAGACAACGAAAGCGTTAGTCGAGACTTCATACGTACTAATGAAAAAATAATGAAAAATCGTAATTGCACTGAAACGATGGCAATTCCTGGCCGTAATTCCATGATGATTACGAGAACCAATTCCTCGTTAATAATCATGTGATAGAATTGAAGAACGCAAATTTAAAAAAAACGTGTGCAACACGAATTACCTTTAGGTCGGCATTATTCCTATATTCCACATTTGTCATGAATACTCTTGAATCTGGATGTGTTAAAACTACATCATCTTTCAAGTACGCATCACATGCAGTTGAATTCCTCCTGAAAAAATAACATGAGTGTAAATCATAACTTGAAGTCAAAGCTTGATTAATTGCCTGATTATAACAGTGTTTTTGTCACTAAAAATTTGTTGAATGTATTCGTTCTTACGTATTAAAGTCTTGTTTGGAAGTTGAAGAATTCTTCTGCATTTATGTTTGTTGCTGAGAACAGTCATAGAAATCTGAGAGAGTTCTTTCAGTGCGCCTCAATGCATTGCATTTGTGAACGTGACTGCTAGCCGTATAAAGTGACTAACTGTTGCTGTTGATTACGTATTGAAAATGAATGATTTTATTGTTGGAATATTCTACGATGAGGCCATTTGGAGAAAAACAGGCAACACGAATATCTGTTTCATGTTAGGTACAAAAGGAAGGGCTTAAGCATGACGATATGAGCTCATGTTAAATGTTATTCGAACTTTTGTTCAACTGATTATGCACTATGACAATCTTTTCAAATCCAACTGAAGCACTGCCAATTGAGGAAAGCCTTTCAGTAAATCCTAACATCCATTATTCAGCACTAATTCGGTTGGTTTAGTTGGCTATAGAACCAGTGGTAGTTGCTGCATTCATCAACGAATACATACGAACAGCCTAGCTGGCTTAAAAACCGCCTTTTTTCCACGGTAACGACCACAGTCCACGTAACTAGGCGATTTGATTCAGCTGCTGCTGCATGAAATGCATATAGGAAAGTGCCTTTTTATCATTCAACTGAATCTCCAAAAATCATTTAATGTTGTGCTCTTTTACATATTAAACATCCAGACAGATAAAGAAATGAAGATCATTACACTGACGAGATATTTATTTCACTGTGGAAAGAGGGTTTAAAAATTTGTGACTTGAACACTGTCTCACTAGCATAATCCATTCAATTGTTTTGACGCATTCAGTGAAAATGACCATAAAATTACAATGATAAAATTACAATGTCATTAGTGTCTTTGATAGAATGCTGCTTCACTTGATCGCGATAACATAATGTTTAGAGTACACAGTTTCAAAGTGAAAAATTCTCTGTCGTTAGAGGTGGATTGTGTGGAAGTGAGTTTGATGCCCACCCGGATTGTCTTACCATTTATGTAGTTTTGATAGTGTGTTTGAATAAATTTCAGTAGATAACCGCTCGGATAGAGACAGGTGTACACAATCAAACTACAATTTTGCAGATATCAGAGAAGCCATAAACACTATTGCAGTTAAAAAAACCAAATATTCCTTTGAGCATATACTTTCACGAGTAAACTCATGGACTTACTTCTCTCAGCAATTCATTTTAGATAGGTGGATGCGATAGCATTGCTACCATGTCCATTCGTTCATCATTTTCATCTCTTCCTTACATTCATATCAACCTTCGTGTTTCTATAATAATCTTAAAGCGTCAATTCCACTCTTAGAATACATCAATGCGCAAACTAATTAACCGATGCGTCAAGAATACTTTACATAAATTAAAATTTACGAATTCTAATTCATTCATGCAATCCTCATCACCCTCATCATCACATGATCATCCTCATCATCGCATCATCATCCTCATCATCACATCGTCATCCTCATCATCACATCATCATTCTCATAATCACATCATCATCCTCATCATCACATCGTCATTCTCATCATCACATCATCATCAGTTTACAACTCTTCCCCACTTCAATGACAACAGACTGAATAGATTCTGCAGAAGTATTCATTGCAAATCGATAGTTACGGCCAACTAGCAATTTAAGGCATACTTTTGAATGATTTATGCAACGCAATGAATTTGTTCTATTTTGTATTGCGTTGCGGTTTCACATCAGATAAACACAAACCATTAGCAGTGCACCTACAGCTTGAATCATTATATATGAGTATGTACACGATATCGTCATAATTATTCATAAACACCAACAAACACATAAGTCTTAACTCTAAACTTACGGCGCAGATGAATTTCATACGTGTATATTATCATGCATCGATCAGTCTTCCCATGCATACCGCCACTACTGAACGTGTCTATCGCTTTTCTAAATCATTACAGTTTATTAACATTGTCATCATTTTCATGGTCATTGTTATTTTTAAGAATGGTAAAAACCTGCGTGAATGAAAATTTTTGAGACAAATTCGCTTTCAAAGAAATTGAAACAGTTATCGAACTTCAACAAATAAAAGCTCCTTTCTAGTGTCCCACACAACCAACAAATATTTTCATCTTTTCAGAACACATAGTTCATCAGCATATTATCAATGCAAATTCATGATATGAATTCTGATCTTTGCAGTCGACTATGCAGTGTTCAGATTAACATAAGGTTTCGAAGATTATTATCAAACTAGTCCGCTTCAAAGCGTGCCTTTTGCGATGATTTCACTACATACAAACAAAAAGAACATTTCCTCCATGAATGCATACAAAGAAATTAAATATGAATTGTCACTGACAACGAATTTAATTTATCCTGCTGAAAGAGTGTACGATTAAAATAGTCTGACAATCTCATATATAGCAAGTAATCCATTTGATTCTCTAACAGATAAGGTTATCATTTTCACTACCACCGTTTAATTCAGAATCGATCAATCTGCCAAAGACACTTGACGATAAGAAGAATGGATTGATTCGCATAAATTCAAAATATGATCACCACCAAAATCAGTGCACACACCGCATAAAATAAAATCTACGAACAATTCTGCATATTCCACGAATAACTTCCCAAATTGATTTGAATATAAATGCATTTCACTCATCCATTAACAAGAAGAAAATGATTCATTATAAATATTAACGAACTCATTTTTGAGTAATAAAGATCCGTTACCCTTGAGGAATTGAACTTCGAAAGATAAGTAAAATTATAATGAAATTACTTGTCATATGGACAATAAGCGGATGCTTAACTGTTCGTTCCGGGCAACTGGCAAAATGTTGAGATTATTCATGCTACTCGACTGTTCTTGATTATGCAATATTGATTGTTGGTAGTGATTAGTGGTACCCTGATAATTCGCCTAAAGACATTTTGCCTAAGGACAGTTTGCCTAACGTGCGGTTTTTAATGGATATTTTGCCTAATAGGTAAACTGTCCTTAGGCGAAACGTTTTTAGGCAAATTGTCCGGTCACGGTGATTAGTACGCCAATCTATTCAGTTACGATAATCATTACTGATTCGTTCAGATAATTTACTGATTTACTACTGCCGGTTATTTTCAACAGCTGCTCTGAGCTATCATTGAACGCATGTTCTTTGGACCAGTCAGAGCGCAGTTTTGAGCTTATTTCAAGTCCCTCTCCTTATGTTAGGAATACGGGAGATTAGCCCTACATCGTCCTCTTATGATTAATGTTTCTCTGCGCTAATATCGTTAGCGGTGAGGAAAGGAGGTTGACGAGGGAATAATGTGATACTGGTGATAAGAGAGAGGCATAAACTCGTAATGAGTTCTAACTGCTGATTAGTTAAATAAATGAATAAATAGAATAGATGATCACTCAGCATTCTTATTAATATTGAATCATTCTGACTGATTGTCCGACATAAAATTAAATGATTCAAAATACGGCACAGGAGAACCAATTGAAATTAGTCTCAGCAACACAGTAGGTATTCGTTTTCAATAAGGATATTAAATTACAATAAGCAAACAATAAGTCAGTTAAATGGTTTTTCAATTGCATTCGTTCGTTTGTTGTCACTAGATAATTTTCGTATCTGGATTTCATGTTTCCTTCAGCCGTATGCATACGTATGCCATCTTTTTGAGCATTTCTAGACGAACACTCCAATACTTTTTTCCTGCTACGAACGCATGATAATTCACGTTTCACTCAACTCGGCAATAATACTATTCACATTCTTCACAACAGTTCCAGTTAATCGAACAGCTGAGAAAATTGAATAAAGATTTGAATTAAACTATTCAATCTCACTTATTTATTTTTGCTGTTCATTCATAAATATGATTCGAACATTAGAAAACGAATAAACTTTCAGCAGTGGTTTTTTACGAATGTAATTATTGATGTAATAACGCATTAAGTTGACATTTTATAAAACTCAACGCGTGCATACGTCAATTTGCGTTTTATCGACGTCTACGATAATAGAAGTCAATGAAAGATGTCGTTCATTAAGCATCTCTTCGAAGATTGCCGTTTTTGAGAGATGGAAGCGCACAATAAAAGAAGCGGGACGTAAGGACGTACAAAATGATTATTGGTAAACAAATGAATGAAAAAAAGTATTGTGTGCCTCAAAAAGCGTTTCAAAAAATAGCATTAGAACGGCAGATAATGAGCAGAAACGAAACACATTCTCGA